ACATTAGAAGCCTACATTTGCAATTGAAAACAGCTGCTGTTTGGCTTACTTTCTATTTCCTGAACCAAAGTAAGCAGTATGTCCTACCAGAGCCTCAAGCTTTTGAAAAACATATCAGTTTTCATGGACTGTGAGACCAGGAATTCTCTGATGATTCAAGTTTCAGTGAGACATTTGCCTGAGAAAGCATAGCAGAACTGTTTGACAATGCCCAGAAACAGCTGCCTCCTACTTAGTAGGTCTTTTTTGATTCCAGTTTATTTTGTCTTGGCAGGAAAAAAAAAAGTGATTATTAGATCTAAAACAAACATATTCATTCACGTAGAAGCATAGTCTAACACATATTAATCACAAACATTAATTCTGGATCGAGCATATTGCATTTATCCCCTCAAGAATGCTGTGCTGTATAGTTTGCATCACCAAAAAAGCTCATCTATACGTAGTAATGGGATTTGTTGTGTGGGGAAAGTCTGGGAGTATCTAGAACCAGTTTGGCATGAAAGAATTTACCTACTTTGGGTTGTCATGAGATTGCCACAGGTGTAAGGACAGTTTTTCCTCCCACTATTCATCTGGCTGTGTTGTTTGCTACTGCACTAAATATTGAGGCTTCTTCTGAGGCATCTCAACAGACCTCTGGGGAAGTGGCAATAAACTGAAAGGCACTAATCCCTCTCTGGACAACAGAAAATCGGCTGGAAACAAGACAGAAAAACTGCTAATGTCCAAAGACAAGCTGCAAGCAAGTTCCTTGTCTGGAAAGAGGTACAGATTTCTTATCTTCAAGTTATGAATTCCAACCTGTAGAAAACTCAGATGTACTGAATTGTAATTGGAATATATGTTTTATGTTGCTTTTGCAGTGATAATATACCCTTTCTGCCTTGAAATGAGATTTGTAAAATACAAAAAGGCAGCTCTGGAGAAGAGTTATCAAAACATATTGCTATGCTTTTCTTATTTCCAGACACCAAGTAACATTTACATTACAAATAAGGAAGTCAAAACAGGCAACTAAGCAGAAAGGAGAGTTGGAAACAACAAATACATAGAAAATTCAAAAAGGTAAAAGTTTATCCTAATGTTTACCCATATTCTAATGCTTCAAAAAGACTGAACACTTTGACACAAGTTGAACAGCCTTTGCCAGCCAGACTGTTTGATGTTGCATTGGCTCTGTGACAAAGCCAGTCGGTACAGGAACGCTGGCATTGTTTTCTGATCAAAGTGAGCCCTAATGGCATTAAACCTGAGTTGTGGTCTGACGTGTTTTCCACCCTCAACTGTCATTTCTCTACATTGCCACCAGCTCTTTCTTGAGCTGTTGCAGTCCGATATTCTGCTAGTTTAAAGCATGGTCGGACTTTTATTTCAGATGATAAGATCTGATTTTCACATATATTCTGCTATGCTTGGTAAGGAGACAGGAGGTTGTGAGTGTATTATGACGGTGCACAAAAGCTTGCTTTCAGGATATGGTGATAGTAAGTTTCTCTTGGCTCCAATGATATTGCAAGAGAAAGAGGAAGCAGGAGATCTTTAGCAATTTTTGGATTAAGCCCTTGTGCAGCAGCATAGTTAAATGTGTCTTTAAAACTAAGCATATGTTTATGCACCTTTTATAAAGGACAGACATGCAAAAACTGTGGCTGTAGCAGGATATGAGAGGGTCACCCCATTAACCCATGCAGGCATCCTGCACAGGATGAGAACTTGCACATTTTTGTAGTTCTGTCCACTAATATTTGTCTTTGCTTTCATAGATAGTAAAAGGGTCTTATAATTTCAAATAAAAGTAAAACTAATCAGATACTATGAAATTAAACATCAGATGCTCAGAAAACGTAACTCCATTGGCGACCATGGAAGCACAATAGAATTAACTTTCATAACTCCAGTCTCAATTTGCTAGCACTAGCTTCTCTGCTCAGATGTGAGGTAACCCATCAAGGAGCACTTCACAGAGCATTTACAGAAAGAGTTACTTCACAAGCTCATATTGTCCACTGCAATCACTGTTGCTGCTGCAATTCAACTTTCTCTTTTGTTGACTTTAATTGCAATTATTTATGATGCCAACTAGAGTGAACATGAGAAAACGTGCCAGTCAATGATGCTACAGGCTGGATATTAGCTCCTGCAGTCACATCTACCACCTGTCTTTAAATCATTTAGTGTGATCTAGCACTGTAACCTTGGAAGCAAGGAAGCCAAACAGACTCTTCTGACAGTTTTTGAGTAGCTGTCACCAGCTTAAAAAAAGCCTTAGTAGATATTCCATCTTCACTTTATAGCACAGTGGACCTGACCTAAATCAGTGAAGACAGATTCCTGTCAAAGCTATAGTAGATATCAGGGATGGAGGAGAAGACTTAGAAGAAAACAACTATTTCAGATCTTTGTACAGCACAACTCAAACTGCATTTATTATGAAGTTCTGACATGTCCAAAAACATTTTACTGCCTTCTGGTTTCCAGATGGGTCTGCATCCAGAACACCAGAACACCACAAAAATGTTGCCTTTTTTTCTGCTGCAATCAGAAGCAGCTGCAACAGAAGGCTATAGAAAAGTCTGATTCTTAGAAAATGCCTGTGTCTGTTTTTCAAAATAAAAGAAGTTTAGAGAATTGGAGTAAATTTTGCAGGGTCATCCAAACAATTGAAATCGCATTATGACACACATTTCAAACCCTTGGAAGTATATGCTTCACTAGCTGTTTGTTCCTATTGAGGGAATTGGAGTACTTCAGTGGGTAAAATTCAAGAGACAGGATTCTGGTCTAGCCCAGCTCTAATTTAATAAGCGGCTTTGACAATATCACTTAAATTCTGTGTTGCTGTTTCCCTGTTGATCTAGGGAATCATGCTTCTAAAGGAATTTGTTAGTGTCATGTTAGCACCCTTACTATTATTATTATTATGCGACCATGTGCAGTGATGAATTTAACATGTTTGGAGACAAATTGTTATTCATCATCCCCCCTAAATTCTAAAAATCCAATAACCAACCAGCATTTTGGGGATTAATCAGCAAGATGTCAAGAGTCCCTAGGATTAGCTGACTGTGAAAGTTGAAGGTATACAATAATTTCAGAGGCTGTACAGCACCTTGCAATATGAAGACCATATGGAATTTTTTTACTATTTTTACTTCCATTGTAAAGTTATTGTCTTCCTTTCCAATTTGGCTTTGGAGTCTTTGTATTCATCAGGTTTACACAGCTACATGTGCACACCCTGTTCAAAACACTTGTCTATATCAATCATACCATATGGAAAGATACATGCCCATGCTCATGCATAAACCACATGGTAAAGTGCAGGAAAATGAAGGTGCTTTTTGAGTTTTTATTTTTATCTGACTTTATATAAATTAAAAACCAAGATTATAATTTAATGAAAGAATGCCTTCATTGATATTAGTTTCCAGTATCTAGTAAGAGGGGATAATATCTAAATTAATAAAAATAAGTAAGTGAAGAAGTTGAATACTAACTCTTGGGCTTATATGGAACTTGAATACTTGCAGCAATCCTGACTCATAATAAAAATGATTTATTTAAATATTTATTATGAACATTGCAGGAAAGGAGATAACAGACATGCACCACTTTGTTTACAGTAAAATTTCCTGTAAATTAAAAAGAGCTCTTATTCTCTATTTGGTTTTGATTTGGTGCTGTACCAAGTATCTGTTTATAAAAGGAAATACGAAGGTACAAAGTGTACAAAGTGAATTGCAAAAGAGATTAACAGTTAAGGTGAATTTGCTTTAAATTAAGTCCTAGCAACACAGACACAGTAGATCCCATTAAGGTAAGGGAAGTTGGTCTGAGGCAGATCTTTCACGTGCCATTACTGAGAGCTGAACTACCTGAAATTCAGGCAAGAAAGCTACTCGCCAAACAGTGATTGGTGTTAGCCCCACAGCAAATGCAGTGGTCACTCTCAGTGTCAGAAGAATATAACCCTAGCCATATGCCATGCTTGAATCTCCCTAATCTGTGTGCTGTGCTGCAATGATCTCAACCCCAAGAGCAGGGCTCTCTAAATGCTTCTTTCTGCACATTTCTGAGGAACTTCAGCTACTGATGATGTTAATCAGAACTGGAGACCATCAGCACAGTGCAGAAAGTGGAGATTCTAATAGGGTTAAGATGGTTTTATTTTATTGAGGTGCCAGTGCATACAGTAATGACCTTAGAGACGTATCAGTGAGAAAAATCCTGAACTGTTTTTAAAAAAAGGTTCAGGTGATGAAGAGATAAGGCAGGAAAAAAAAGTTGCAGAGCACTACAAAATAAAAGTTTTATATAAAGTAAGTAGTGTGTTTCAAAAGGATTATGTTTTAAGGACTTTTTTCTCTAATCCATTTTTTTCTGAGGTTTTTTTTTGCTTATAATACTCCCTAAACAGCTTATTAAAGAGCCTTTCTGAAGTCACAATCATGTGACAAAGTATGTTGCAACCTCAAATTGTCCCATCCTACAGAAAATCTTCCGGAAGGAGTCTTTCATGAAGATAACGTATTCATAGTTGAAAAGGAATGATGAAAACAGGCATCAAGTTTCATTGGAAAATTAGAAAATAACCTGTTTTGCAGAAGCAATTCCCTTAGTTGAATTAGTTGGAGCCACCCTGATATGTCTAAAGATTGGGGAACCAAGACTAGGACTTCATATATCTCCAAAGTATCTACCAAGGGAAAGAAAACTTTTGTGAATGGAAGTGCTGGATCTGGGTCATATTAATTCTGCTGTACATAGAACAGAAGATTTACATGGAGGATAAAAACCTGAAATTATTGACATTATCTGGAGCGCAGGAGTTACACATATTCATAGGGTTTACTCCAAACAGTTCTAAGATCCTTTATATGATATTTAGTGTTATGAAATTAATCCTGGATTTTAAAAATCATGTAGCTAATAAAACCAATTCTCAGACAATCCTGTTTATACAAGCTCAGTGGTTTAGAGGGTATGTTGGCACTTACCTGGGGGCATGTGTTCATTCATGATGACGAGTGATGCTGGTGTAGGCCTTCTTTTCCTGATCTGTAGCAGGCATAAACCAAGGAGATTTATTAGGGTCCATCAACTTCCCCACACACAAAGCAAAGTAAAATATCCTTCTGGTGTCCTCCTGAGTATAGGCCAGGTAAAGTTAAAAAATAAAATATTTAAAGAATAGCAGTGTGTCACTATCTTACTGACTGCTCATCCGGTCTGACAGTGATCACAGTGATGATGCTGCTTGTAGATGGAAAGTAAAGGCACAGGGAGGAGCTTTCCAAAATACATTTAGGATTTTCAATCATCTTGAGTAAGTTTTTGGACGTGTATTGCTGACATATATCAGTCATATCTTAAAATATTGACATTTAGCTTTGTGTCAGGAAAATGATTGCAGTAGTTTGTGAGCTTAGATGTGCAAATAACTAGTACTGTCATAGCTCTCACAAGTAATTATTAATTATATTTTGTAAGTGCAATTAAGAGTTGATATTACATGTGTGTCTTCCAATGAATTTAGGATATTTCTAAACTGTGGCCAAAGGTGTTGCTATATTTCTTTAATTAAAGAAAAACAACATTTAAGACTTTCAAAATAATATTTTCAAAGAGCACTACACAATAGATCTTTACATATCAATATGTATTCCTGAATTGTATGCAATTCTTCTTATTGCAAGTTTGTTTGGTTAAGTACTTTTCTTCCATTAACTCTGGTTGAACTATATGATATTGGACTACCCTCCTATAATGCACACATTTGCATTGAAAGCTTCGTGTTGATTTACTAAAGCCTCCAGACTATTGATATTCTATTGAATTTAAGAGAGGGAGCAAGAGTATTTAAAATAGAAACCATTCTGACACAAAACCTCAATGTCAGTGTGTTTGCTCTTTTTAAGTTGCTGAGCCAACATCTGTATTTAGCTGGGTTCAAATTTTGCTTTCAGAGGTGTAAATGAAAAATTACATCACCAGGGTTAATGGGTTTATTCCAGATTAGCGTGACTGTAGCTGACAGCAGAATTTACTGCTTTAATTTCATCACACACCCACAGTGAAACTGTATAGTACTTGGAATTAAACTCACAACATAAAAAAAGGACTTCCCATAAATACTGGGCAGAATTTGGGCCACAACATTTCAAAAGCCATGGGAATTCTGGGAAATCCTAATCCTATGGTTCTCACAGATTTCAGAAAAATATCAGAACACATGATGCTTGAATTCATTGCAGGACTGTTCTCCTTAAGGTACGGAGATATTGTGGCTCAGAACTACCTATGGACAAAATGCAGACCCACAGCAATTCTCTCCTGCATACTTCTAGTATTTCTTTCTTCAGTCGTCATTCAGAACTATAATTTTCTGGCAAAGGTGGCTACCTTTTAAGAGACACGACATCTGAATATTCAGGAAACCAGATACCTGTCCTAAAGGTGCAAATAATTTTGTAGCTAATGGCATGGAACTCTCAAGGTTATAATATTCCCCTGGTATCATCTAAAACTAGACTCACCAAAATAGAAGCAAGTGTTGAGAAGCACTTGCACTGAGAGAAATATACTGGGTCACCTAATTATGATTTATCTAGCTTTTTCCATAAGATTCCCTGTGTCCTTCTTTATGTGCGTCTACATGTATCTGTACACAATAATAGATACCTTTTCCTCCTTAGATGTCTGTATTGTTATATATATTATATGTATGTGTGTGTTTTGGGAGTGAGTCAAAACCTAGAATAGCACAGACATAACTCCAATATGGACATAAGTCAGGCATATTTCTACACCCATGTATTTTTCAAATATGTAAAACATTGTAACCATGTCATAAAGGAGACTATGAAAATCGTAAGAAACAGAGGAGGTAACTGAATAATAACTATTGTGCAAAACATAAGTTGTATTTTCTTAGGTTGAAATGAATGGTAAATAAGCTGCCTTCTGTGCAATATTTCCATTAGGTATCCATTATCTGCATGATGTTTTGCTTTATGTACAAATAATATACTTTATTTGTTTTGTTGAGAATGTGTATTCATGTGAAGTGTATGTAATTAGGGTACAAGTCCAGTCACAGAAAAGGCATGACAAATATATACTGAATAAATCTACCCAAGGTAAAGAAGCCTTACTCTGGCTGCAGGACATACCCTCCTCTCTCTTTGGGTATATCCAGACATTGCTATAACCTCCAGACTATTTAATCTGTAGTTACACTAATATAAATTAGAAAAGCATTTAGGCCACCAGTGTTACCTGTTCTCACCCCACATCTCACCCCCATTCCTACCCCATTCTCTCAAAAGAGTGAAAAAAACTCATCTTCCTTACCTGCTCAGCTGCCTCAGGATCTATTTGACTCTGAAACAGTGGCACAGCAAACTGTATTTTTTTAGGGCTGTTAGGCTCCATTGTGATGCTGAGGTGAGTCAGACGAGAGAAGAGCGTGGAGCTTGAGACTTGGTCTGTGCCTCTCCCCGGGCGCCCTCCCCACAGCCAGGCTGGGTGCTCCTCAGTAACAGCTGTAACTCCCGACTTAGCACGGGAATCTGTGTGAGCCAAGCAACTCCCTTATTCCACATCCACGGAGATGCCACTGGCCTGGCTATTGTTTTTTTTACCCCTTCTCCCCTCTCTTCTGCAGTCCTTCAGATCCTCTCAGCACAAAGCTGAAAGGAACAATAAGCTAATTGTGTACCAGTTCACTTCTACATATGCCAAGCATTCACTCAGAAGCTAATTGAAAATGCAATACTAGCATTGCATGGCCTGGAGCCCTGGGATTTGAAAAAGAGGATCTCTCCACCGTACATTACTAACTGGCTGCTCAGAAGTGCAATGCAAGCTCCCTCTGAGTATTGCTGATGGGCTCTTAATTATTGATGAACACAAATCAGGAAGTTTTCAGATTTTGGGGGTGGAGGTAGCAGAAGGGGTGGATGCAATAATTCCATCTCTGTTACAATGTGCCAGAACCACTCTCCTCTTCTCAAATATCAAACAGTTGCCTTTGCTCTTTTAAATCCTTTTCTAAACCTTTTCCAGGAAGATTTTTGATGATGATACTACACAGATGCCTACACTTTCATGAAGCTTATCTGGTGTGCTAGGTGGGTTTGCACCTTAGGCTGGGTTTGTAGATTTAGGCTGCAATTTCTTCTGATGGGGTCCATCTCACATGACTTCAGATAACGAGACCATCCACACTTAAGCCAGCTATCTGGGCTTCCTCATGCTAGACACATGCTAGACACAGGGCTTTTCACCCTGTCCTAGTTAATCGGAATATAGTATTTACTGGTGATGACAATTTCTTTCCATCAACCCTAGAAAAATTAAAGATGACTGAAACTAGTTACCTCACTTTTAGATGGCTAAAATTCAGAGGGACAAATCCTACTTTGGTGTACAAAATCTGTCCTTTCTTCCAAGACCACGAAAAGGATTTGGTCAATCATGCCAATAGTACCCTTTGGTGAATATAATTGATTTTCACTCTTCATTTCACCTTAATTCAAATTCAAAAGAAGTGTATGAAACAATACACAACCACTGACTCAACCTACCTCTTTGCATAGAGCACCTGACCACTGCCAAGCAGCACAGCAGAGCTCCTGTGACAAAAGTGTGCTTGATGTCAAAACTGCAAACCCGGATGGAAAATGCCATAGAGCCTGTGAAAAGGGCTCTGCTGAAATCTTAGGTCTAAGTTGAAGAGCACCAGGCTAATATCTTATTACACACTACTACCAATTGGGAAGAAAGAGAAAATGAGGTACAGCAGGAAAACCCAGACTGGCCCAGCCCATCACAGAATCAGCCTTACCTGGAATGAAGCTACTTGCAGAGAGAAAGTGAATTTTGGTCATGTTTTTGGAGGGCCTGTGAACTCTCTCAACAGGGAAGGGAAACACATCCAGCCAGAACAAATAATAAACAGATGATATTCATGGAAACGAGTAACAACTTGAGTCTGCTGCTGACAGACTGCAGTAAGGAAACAGAGAAGCAGCTGAATTGAGAGCTGAGGCTGGATGTCACCAAAAACTCCGAGGAATTTGAAAACGTGGTTCTTGTTCAGACCATTGAAAGCACTCTGGATTTTCACAACTCATCACAGGTTTATTCAGTGTCACTGAGTATTCTCCCAGCTGTGCCAGTGGAGAAAGTGAGGAAGGAGTGGGAATCAAGGTTAAGGACAAGGCACAGGCCATGCACAGCATAATAAACCAGCAAGTCAGGGATGGAATATTCGTTTGGCTTTCATTTATACAAATGAAAACCTTTAACTCATTATCAAAATATCAGGGTATTTCTGAACAGAGGCAAGCACACTAGCTAGTTGGTTTATGAAGAACCTGATAAAGCTCAGGAGGTGAGAATACACTACAAGTTAGAGACCCAGTTGACTCAATGATCAAAAATAACTCTCAGTGAGGGCTGAAAAATCCCTCCTTGTCCAAATCAAAACTACAGCATATCATAGTGGTTTCCAGCTGACGGCTAGTAGGTGACAATTTACATGTTAGATGTATTGTGATAGTTAAGGTGGGATAAACTTAGAACTGTAGAATCACCAAAGAGTCCCTCTTGGAGAGGACTTCTGGAGACATCTGGTCCCACCTGCTGCTCGATGCAGGGCCTGAGATCAGGTTATCCCTCTCAGGCTGAGTCTTGAATATTGTTAGAGCTAAGGTGAAATGCTGTTTCATTTGCCACAGCAAATGAAAGAAACTGACAGAATAGTGATGTTCAGTGTTTCATACGATCATTTTTAAGTCTTCACTATTCCTACAAAGATGAATCATAATTTGCTTTATAGACTTCCACAGACAGAGCCAGAGTGCAATCACAGCAGTTCTGCTGGTGTAACTATGAGCCTAAGACGCTAAAGTAAGAGGCACATGCCACTTTCAATAAAGACAAATAGTTGTTTCCAGGACAGTCTAATTATCAAATTTCACAAGTCCTTCATGAACAGAGATGCCATTAACTCCAGTGACAGCTTCAGAGATAGTAGATATGCACAGGGATACACCCGGGGAGAGGACATACACAGGGACCTGAGGTTGTGGTTTTTCTCTGATAAATTTAATACTTGAAAGAAGATAATTTTTGTTCTCTCAGTACCAGATAACGTGAGAAAAATGTTTTCCAGCTGCTTTGCTATTATATATATTAATAAATATTATATTTTAAATATCAGGTTTCTCTATGAAAAAAACTGTTTGACATAAAATATCTGTTATAGCCATCTATGAAACTTTCATGTATTAAATGATGCTACAAATACAGTATATGTTACTGTATTACAGGAGCTATAACTCTCATTACAAAGGCTTAAAATTTCTTATGTTAATTATAAAGTCTCTTGAAAACCCACATTCAGATAGTAAAAAAATATTTTAAAAATAAATGTTCAAAGGATTGTGGAGGTGTGTTTCAGCTCTAGATTGCTGGACATTCCAGTCTAAAGGAATCATGTCTCAAAGTCATTGCTAGCAAGGGTATCTAAGAAAAAAGCTCAACAATCATATGAAGAAGCAAACCAACAAAGGACGCTTTGGCAGGTTCAGGAAAGGGAGCCAGACAACACAACAGGACAAGACACAAGGACAAATCCTTAAGGGGGGATGCTATGCCTTGGAGACAGGCCCACCAACAATGCAATGTGGAGATATTTGCGTCTGCAGCTCTCCTCTCTGTGCCTATTTGGAGCTGGTTGCCCAGCAATCTTCACATGCACTATAACAATAAAAGTATTTTTAAAATAGTATAAGAGGCATATTTCAAAGAGCACTCGGATATAGAATTTCAAGATTACTACATCAGCTCACTCTTACACCTCATTTGCAGCACTAGATGTCTCCGGGCAAAGTGTGCTTGCATTTCCTATAGACTGCATCATAGTCTGGGGAAGAGCTGAAATGCATTTAAGTACCACCAAATCCTTTTAGCTCATCTTCTGTTTTTAGTGCACTCCCCACAATGTTTCAAATTCCTTCATGATTCAGCTAAATCTATGATGGAACAAAAAATAATAATAACTGTCTAAGGTCTTTCCTTCCTATGTCATTCACTAGTTTCTGGTATGAAGCATGGCCTTTTAATATATCCTACTGTAGTGATGAGCTATCAGAGTACTCATGGCACATTTCCTGCTTGAGATATTTTTCCTGTTGTGTTAGGAGAAGTTTATATTTTTTTTCTCAGTCAAAGACAAGGCTGCTGGGAATGGAATTCGAGGGTCTCTGTCCTGCACTCTCCTTACAATTTCTGTTGTGGCTGTAATCTGCCTCAGCTTCTCTGCTGTGGTCAGGGACTACTGCAGCATCAGCCTGGAGAGGAGAGGAGAGAGTTGGAGCTCATTTTAAAGCCAGCCTACTTAAGGCTTTGGCTCCTAATTTCACCAGTGCAGATGCAGGGAAGCACTCAGTTACAGTTCTCTGATTTGCCAGGCTGCCCCTGCAGAGCAAGGACTTGGCTTGGAAGGGGCAATTCTTCCAGCATGTCCCTAAGGACATAAATTTAACCCCCATTGTAGCTGCTCATATGTGAGAACCTTTGCAAAGAGATGTTGATCCATGCTTTCCTCGGGCTCTCCGGACAAGGCCTCTCCTCGGCACACTGCTGGGCAGCCCCAGCGGCATTGGGGGAAGAACTTCTGCAGAGCACATTGCTTCCCAGCTGCTGCTCACCGGCTTCCTGCTACAGCCAAAGGGGATTTTAGTGTGCCCCTTCCTTCTGCCCTTTTCTAAAGACCTGACAAACAGTTTTTTCACTGTCTTTGTCCATACAGAGGCATCAGGCTCACAGCTCTTGGTGTTGGCCATGGGCAGAAGGGAGGTAGAAAGCATGGCTGCTGGACACGATCTTTGCCGTGTACACCATACCTGCTCACAGACAGGTTTTCCTCTTGGGGCTCTACACAGAACATTGCTCATGGGTGCTAAAATCGGATGCAAGACTTCCAAGAATAAACAACGTTTCCTTTCAAAATAGCTAAATACAGGCATTGCAATCAGGGTGGCTCCCACTCAACCGCTGGAAACAGTGTCTGCTATTTATATTCAGAAAATGCAAAGAATTTAAAATCTGCAAGGGTGGGAGAACGTAGAGCAGAATCTGTCTGTCTCATAAGTAGTAAGTGCTGCTGCAGGCAGGTCAAGGAGAAGAACAGAGAGTCTTGTTGAGAAGCAAAAGGATTGCTGGGGCATTCAGTCAGAGTTGCTGGCCTCTTAACAGCCTAACTCACATTTCCATTGTCAGTACTCATCCATCAAACACCAGGCTTGGACATGCTTACGTATTAACTGTATACATGGATTCATAAAGCCTAGATAAATAAAAAATACAGCTATTTCTATTTAGACAATCTCTTTAGCTGAGATAATCATTCCTCAACAGTATAATTTTAATCATAACCAGTTTAAAGTTACTTTTATCTGAGAACATAAGAACTGATACTATCTATTCAAGACTTTCTCTGGGACTCACAGCTCTCCAGACTATCAAGTAATGTACAGACATTTACTGGTAGGTGCTATCCACTACTGTCCATAGCATACACATGTGCGAAACATAAATAATGAGCTGGAATAATGGGACACAACCTGATTGGGTGGTCAAAAGATCTATGTACAGTATGTACTATCATTCAATAG